TATTGTCATTATCTGGGTGAAATTTAACAATTTTTTTTTTTAATTCCAAATTAGTTTTTAATAACGTTTTTGATGTTTTTGAGATTTCAGAATAAAACTTATGGAGTCGCTTGAGTAACGAATCAATAACTGATTTTGGAATCGTAGACTCCACAGCCCATTTCCTTAATTTATCAATAACAGTTAGTTTTTTTGTATCTTCACTGCTTTTATTTGATATCTCCAAATCTTTAAAATCAGATTCACATGTTTCATCACTGTCAGAATGAACAATGAAATTTTCTTGTTCCTGTCTATTTTCTGATGATTTAGTTTCGTCACTGATATCACTTAGTTTATAAATTAATAGTTCGTTCTCATGACTGATGCTATTTTTCTCAAGGACATCAGTGTCTTTAGCATTTAGTACTTTCTCATCAACTCTTTTACGTTTTAAGGACCAATACTTTTTAACTCTTTCGTTGGTCAATGATATGGTATGTTTTACTTTATGACTCATTTTTGATAAAAGTTTATGCCATTTAGGTATGTAAAACTATTTTTAAATGTCTTAAAGCAAAGGGTTACATCAAACAATTCACGTCATAAATGTATATACTGCTCCGAACTCGGAACTATGTCTTGTTGATACCAAAGTGTCTTTTTGTAGGTGAATCGTGAATAGATAGCATAAAAGTTCATCTATCTTTTTTCTTGGAACGACTAATTGTAAAGTTTTGGTCTTCAAGTTCAGTGAAATCCATTCTTCATATAAACCTTAATCCTTAAGGTAGAGCGTCCGTGGACCGAGTAAATCAAGCGAATGAAGTGCATCATTTACCGTATTGTGACAGTCTTACAGGTTATAGTAGTATGTTTTTGCAACGGGAAGAATATTAATTAATAAACTGGTTTTTATTGAGTGCCATCACACCATAATTTGAAAGGACTAAAATAAAGTACACACTTTGAACATTTGTACAGTATTTTTTATAAAAGTAAGTTGATTCGTTACATATGCCCTTAAAGCGGTCATTACAGTACCTTATTACAGCTAATGTTAAGAAATATCTTTTAAACTCAATATCCTAAAAACCAGTACCAATACATAACCTTTAAAAAATTTTTTTGTTGTCAATCTGGTTAAGAGTAAATTTTTTTACTGTCAATAATTTTTTTTATTATTGCCTCGTCTTCCATTTGATGTTTTTGCGAGTCTGATCCTCTTTTTTTAAGAAAAACGATTTGACCAATACACCTTACTTAAAAATTTTCTTTAAATAGATAGTAGTACTTGCAAGATTTATCTTCACGTGGTCGTTTGGATAATCCATCTGCGTTTCTGTGTATTGTTCCTGTTCTATGAGAAATCTTGAACTTGTACTGACCTAATAATTTAACCTATCTAGCTAGCTGGCCATCGAGCTCTTTAAATAATAACTTCATCACTTATCACTTCAGTTTCTTTTGTTGCTGTGTATCTGATGTAGGGTTTCTTCAACCTCGAAACTTTCGACACTCGTATCCCGGACGAGCCCCCAAAATTGTTACGCTTACCAGTAACAATTAAAACACGTTACTTTACGAAAGGAAATTAAACTCTCTTAGTAGAAATGAACAGAAGTAATAGCTCAAGGTTACAATCTCGACTAAACTACTATTTTTCGTAATAACAACAATACCTAGCAATACATAGCAACATTTTTGATGGCACGGCAACTCAAACCTTCCAAGACTTTTGAACCGTGTATCCAGTATTATATACAGCAATTAAAGATGTAATGATTGCTACTTGGGTCATCGAACTGTCGGTCGACGAATTTTGATGGTTGCTAAAAGAAGAAAAACCTGAAATTGGCCCAAGATAAGTCAAGCTTTGTTATTATTAGTAGAAATCAAAGAAACTTAAAAAATAGAATAAAATACCTTTGTATAGTACCCTTGTGCGGAACACCACCTTAAGGTCTCGAAAATCTTTCAGAATAATGCCATTAGAATAGCCTTTGGTTTTCAGATGACAATTCCCATCAATGTGATAGTGGCCGAATCAAAACTATGTATCTGTTAAATAGATTCGAGTTTCTAGATGATAATACCTTTTAACAAACTTAGCAATCGATAAAAATGTACCAGTAGATAGAGTTTCAAAAACTCTCGAGTTTAATGAACATCTATCCAGTATACAGAATTAAAATTTAGAAATTACTCTTAGTCAAATGCTATCACATGGTCACGTCATCAACATCAAAAATTAAACATTCTGGATCCCAGCCCATGTAAGAATTCGTGGGAATAAAAAAGTGGATAAAACATCTAGATTCCTTACTCAGATCTACTATCAGGCTACGAAAGTATTAGCATGAAAAAAAAAAAAACAAAGAAAATCTGACTAACATTGGTAAAAGTAAAGTTAGTTTTCATTTTAAGCATTATTTTAAGCCTGACGATACTAAACCTTGGTTTAGTAAACCTAACAGCTGACCACGTCTTTTTTGAATGTACAATTTACGATAAAGAAAGAAATAGTTCAATAAAATCCTTAAACAAACAAAGGCTCATTGGTCCCTTTAGCATACATAAAAAGCTATTAAAGAATTTATAAATGACACTTAGATAAAAATTTTAGTCGTAAAAACTGATATTTACAATGTAATATAAATAAGTGACATAAAATCCAATGTTTGATTGGCTGTTTAAGTATATGTTTTTATGCGTAGTACTCAAGTTTGAAGTAATACTTTATCATCCAAATAAAATTTTGATGATCTTAAAAGTTCCATGTATATTTAGTATTTATGTTAATTTTATAGAAATGTAATATATCACGTATTAAAAGAGCTATAAGTGACTGTGATCCTATAAAACTGGATTCTATCAAATTGGATAAAATTTGTTATTGTCTACAGCAAGCATTTTCAACTTCATAGAAATGGAATTTTGTTTTTTTAAGAAATTTTCAAGAAATAAGACACAATGGAAAAGTTAAAAAAAAAAATTAGTTTCTATTTACATCTAAAAAATTCTTGTTCATGACAACAAAAGATGGACAAAGAGTGCTTAGTAAAAAAAATACCTGTCTAGCACTTTTATCTACATGTGCCTGTTGATATGTTGATAAATATATCAATAATAAGTTGAAAAAGTAAATGACACTCTCACTCCAGTCATTGTACAATGTTTAATATTAACAATGACAATTACTGTTACATAATTTGTCTATTATAACTTAGAATCCGATATTATTTATAAAAGCAACATCTATTCATGACATTATTTTAGAATTTGTACCTAATGAGTAATTATATTTCATCACCATAACTGAAAACAAAATACTTTTTATAAAATAAACTGGCTGATAATCTACTGAATCAGAATAAAAACTGAATACTTGGGTTCTTAGGCATTGTTACAGACTAAAACTGCAAACACTAAGAAACTCTCTATCCTACCTTAATTTTCTCATGATCATCTGATAATAATCCCATAAATTATTCATGAAAATGTGTACTAGCTCAAGAAGCTTACAATATATATATATGGGTGTTACTTATTCATAAAATTTCATTCGTTACTTTTTTATAAAGTAAATTTCGCACTTATTTATAGATGTACTTGAAAATAAGCAGTTTTTTTAATATAAGTAGTAGCTATAAAAGACAGAAAGTGCCCTTATTTAATAACTGTCCATCCATAGAAATTTCAGTCGTGTGATTGATGTGAATAGTCATGTAAACTATACTATTTGCGGTTTGAAGCTAATTATAGTCAAGTCTGATGTCGTCTGCTATGTATACATACAAAAATATTGACATACAAAAAGGGTTGTGTAGGCATGTGAGTCTGTATGTGTTAACGGTATCTATAGTACTCTTAAAAGAGTTTTCGTATAAATACGCTGTGAAGAAATACGTATCCAGATGTGTGTAAGTGAGATAAATAAGAAATCCGTGTTAACATGTACGCGCTCATGTAGAGATGTATATGTACGATGAGTTAGTAAAAGACGGGCAAGCTAGAAAGCGAGGCTCAAGAGTGGCATCAGCCGCGCTGTGAGAGTTGGACGTTCACGATTAACTGACTAAATAGTGCGTACATCGTACATTGCGTATAGAAGTGATGTATATCTCCTTATATTATATAGTTGTATTAACAAAAGTGAATCTCAGCTCCCCCCCGCTCCCCCTTAATTCACATAGTTATTTGCTTATTATGAGGTGCCAGTATTCAATGTTATTCTAGGAATATAAACTTTGTTTTATATTTTTTCTCCCGTTATTATTTCTACTTCTATATTATACTTAAATAATTTTGTTATTTTTAATCTTGTGCCTCTACAGAGACCGTCTGATATACTTAAAGTTGCTATTAACATTACTATAGCATTTATTTTTAATTTTTATTGGTGTGGTGGAAGACCTTCTCTGATATTATTTGAAAATTCTATTGAAAAATTAATAGTTATGTTATCATATATTTTATCAACTCTTTTGTGAGTCACGTATTCTGCTGTTGTGAACTAATTATCAGCCTGCATTGATAAATACACAAAATATGTCGTTATTTTGTCTACTCAATACGTTAGTGGGGGGTTGACGCATGGAGTGCGCAGGGGAGCGTCAGCCTCACTAATACATATATATATANTGTGTGTGTGTGTGTGTGTGTGTGTGTGTGTGTGTGTGTGTGTGTGTGTGTGTGTGTGTGTGTGTGTGTGTGTGTGTGTGTGTGTGTGTGTGTGTGTGTGTGTGTGTGTATGTATTGGCAGTTGAGTGACGATGTGTATATGTGTGTGTGTGTGTGTGTGTGTGTGTGTGTGTGTGTGTGTGTGTGTGAGTGTAGGAGGGGGGAGGGTTTGTATGTGTGTGATAGTTGTATGACGTATATTAGAGAATATAGAAAAGAAATATTATTGTATTCTGTCTATATTAATGGTAAAAAAATTGACTGAAGATTTTAAGTTCAACTTAAAAACTAAGATAACAATTATTATTTCAAATACTAACGATAGTAAAATTACTTACTTTCCATCTTGAAGATTTTCAGATTTAACATAATCCATAAAACATCTACGTAGCTCTGCTCTTTTCAAAATATCACCTTTCCTGAAAAGTTACAAAAATTGTAATCGTAAAATAACTTTTTTTTGTGAAAAGTTTAGTTTAAAACACTTTTCTAAATAGTAAGCTGCATATTTCAGTGAGTCTAGAAACAGTGTGGCAAACGTTGAAGTATAGTCCTAATTGGCTGCACCATGTTAAACCCATTTCACTGCATACAAATACAGTAAGTCAGCCATACTGTTCTTAGACCTACTGGGTCTATTCCAAAAATTTACCTCGATAGTATGAGCAAACTAGATGAAAACTACCTCTATTAGATGAAAATCCAGACTGGGCCAAAAAAAATTTCTTTGTGTAGATCTTAGGTCTGACAACCAACGTAACTACTTTTGGACAAAAAAAATGTCAGCAATAGGTCCAAAAATGGTAAAAATGGCTAAAACAGGTTTTTAACTTTTACCGGAAAAGCTGTAATTCGGACAAAAAAACGTTCTGCACGAAAAAGATGGGCAATTTTAAGTAGAACAAAATGAGTCCAGGTGGACCTGAATCAGCCTTGCTGTTTATCCTCAAATTGCCAAAAAGTGCTAATTTGACCTTGATTATGGTGGTTCATTACTGGCATTCTAAATAATAATTTGACTTAAAAATCTAGCAGAATGTGGGTTTTTTGATTTTTAACAACCTTACAAAATTTTAAGACGATGAGATGCAGACTTTTTGCAAACCGTCATATAAACTTTAAAAAAATTCCTTCTGAAAAATGGCCACAAAAAAGTTAGACTTCACAGAGCCAACATTTTTCAAAGTATTTTCTCTACATAAGATGTTAATCTAACACTGGTTAAATTTTTTTATCCCTAACTTTTTCGTAAGTATCCAAAAAATATATTTAAAAATGGTGTTTTTTAGCAAAGTACCAGCAACGGCGCTAGATTGGCATGGCACTGGGAGAAGAGGGCGTGACCTAAATCGGCAGTGCGACAAAGCCAGCGCCACCGCTGGTACTCTGCGAAAAACACCATTTTCCAATATATTTTTAGAATACTTACGAAAAAGTTAGGGATACGAAAAACGAACCAGTGTTAGATTAACATCTTATATAGAGAAAATGTTTTGAAAAATGGTGGCTCTATGTAGTCTAACAACTTTTGTATGGCCATTTTTTGGAAGGCCTTTTTTTTTAAGTTTATTTGACAGTTTGCAAAAAGCTTGCATCTCATCGTCTTTAAATTTTGTAGGGTTGTTAAAAACTACAAAACCCATATTTTGTTAAATTTTTAAGTCAAAATATTAATGAAAATGCAAGTTATGAACCATCAAAATCAAGGTGAAATCGATACTTTTTGGCAATTTGCGGATAAACGGCAAGGCTGATTCAGGTTCATCTGGACACATTTTGTTCTACTTAAAATTGCGTATCTTCTTCATGCAGAACGTTTTTTTGTCCGAGTTACAGCTTATCAAGTAGAAGCGAAAAACATGTTTTGGCCATTTTTACCATTTTTTGGACCTATTGCTGACACTTTTTTGTCCAAAAGTTGTTACGTTTGTTGTTAGGGTTGAAATCTACACAAAAAAATTTTGGTTGCTTCAGTCTGGATTTCTCAGTCAAAAATCTAGTTTGCTCACTCTACGATGAAACATTTTTTAGGTGATCGAGTTTCGGAATAAGACAGATACGTTTGTAAAACTTTAAAGGTAATTAAATTTTAGAAGGAAATTTATTTTTATTTGTATTATTATGAAGTTCAGTAGTTTATTTATGCTATTTAACAATTATATTCTAAATTTTGAAAACTATTTCTTTCCTTGGTCAAAACAACCTCAAAATTGTGTCGAGTGATCAAATATTGGGTCCTCTACCTTAATTAATTTTCAAAGTACACCCATTAGACTTTAGTTCATTTAGACACCTAAGACACGTTAGTCTTTGCTTAAAATACTTTCAAAACAACATGGAAAATTCCTAAGGAATGAGCAGGAAAAAATTTATTGGTAATTTTAGTCCACCGACATTACAGCATGCTCCGGAGGCTTTGAGCGAGTGCATTTACAATAAAGTGCATAAAAACTAACGATACCTCGGGAACTAAGTAAAATAAGTTAATGATATTTTTTCCATTGGCGTAGCGCTTAATAATACTACGATTTCACACATTTATATCTTTCTTTACCCACCTTAAAAAAGAAAGACGGAATTATATGTACAATCCTCCCACTCCTTTTGTAATAACTTTAGGAAAGCCATGTGGCATAATACATATGGTTGATGACAATTCCTAAACAAGGGGCTTCAGCTAATTTTTCTGCAATAAAAAAAAATCAATTTTTTTTTTCCATTTCTAAAATAGTAATTAAACACTCCTGTTTAGAATTTATTATACAGATGGTGATACCAATCCCAAACAGTAAATATCGCATTGCGACATTCTGCAAATATTTTTAGATGCCAAAATATGTTTATTTTAATTTGTTGTTGCATGTATTCTTCCGTCCGAAATTACATGTGGCATCACCAATTCTTATTATAACACATTGTAATGTACGATAGTATAGATGAGACTCTACGCTCCCTCTCCTTAAATCTCGTAACAAGGGGAACTAGGGTTAAGAGAGGGAAAAAGCAAACAAGGAGAGAGTCTTTCGGGGGAGTATACGACTAGCCTTTGAGGGAAATACACGCGCTTTTTTTGCCTATGATTACGGTATCTTGAATAAAGGTCTTCGAAATAACAAGTGTTGGTCATTCTCGCGACGCACCTCTTCACCAATATCTTCCCTACGTAACAACATAGAATTCCGTCTTCCTTTTTTTAAGGTAGTGTGCTTGCTCATTGGAGACTCAAAGTTTGGAAGTTTGGAGTTTACCAGTTTAAGTTTTGGTGGCTGATTTAATTTAAACTGCACACATACTAAGTACTAATAGAATTACTTTTAAACCGCGAAATAATCGCCTGATTTGTATAAAAACAATGTTTCATACTTCCATTGAAGTGTTAGAAACATATTATGTTACGAAAACTGACATGATTTCTCTTGACGATTATTCAATAAAAAGATTAGTTATGTTACCATAAACCTAGTTTGAACGTAAATTATGAAATTTTTAAAGTATCATGTAGATGAGTTTTTAATATTATTATGGATTCACGCATTACACCACATTGTTTAATTAAAAATATATCCATTTTAATGTAAAAAAAATACATAAGTATTCAGCATACGTCAGGTGAAATACAATCACTGGCCTAAGTTTTGACTGGCAGTCTCCTGATTTCTAGTCTTTCATGTTCAGACCTCCTAACTTTACTATAATATTCACAGTCTAACATTACACCGTTAAATTTTTTTTAAATAAATTAAAATATTTTTCAACGTCATAATTCTCAATCACAAAAAGTTTTATGTTAAAATAATTGAAAAACGATGAAACAACAAAATGCATCAGCCGTTCAGGTTCACTGCAGAGATGCAACCAATGGACAACGCACATTAACATAGGTCCGATGACTTAATCAGTAATAATGTGATTGATATTCAAGTTAACATTAGTACTTTATATCATTAAGAATTTGATTGCTAACAGAAAATAGACTATTGTAATTGTGCTGTTTTTATGGTCTACCTTCAAGAAATATGACTTTATTGATTTTAGAATAACGATCCCTGCACCCAAGCCATAGGAGTGGAACTGAAACGAAATTAACTGGACAAAATTTACTAGATATTCTTATTTAATAATAAATTCTATAATTGAAAAACTCCGTTTCATTAAAATACATTAATTAATGCACCTCGATAATATTTTAATGAATGGTAATTACATATAGAGCGAGAGAGAAGGCTGCCCACGAGTCCCTTTGTGTTTTGATCTAATCAACGCTCTAAAAACCTGAAAAGGTAGTGAAAAGACTAAAAAGACCAAAATTTTTTTTGTTGGTACTTGGGGAAAAGGTACATTCAGCCTGTTCACTCACTTGTGAAGTTTTTAATCTGTTTTCAGTGTCACGCAACTATTTTATTACGAACAATCTCAGAATACATATACATTGTAACGGTTAGAGACCATCAGGCCATTATCGGCAGGCTAGGGCAGGTAGGGAAACAGGGAAAGGGGGAAAAGAGTTAAAGGGACTAGGTAGGAAAGCGGTAAGGGAAGGTAGGGGAACCGAAGAAAAGGCCGAGAGAGCGCGAGATTAGCTTGGGCCAGCGAACGCACGTGAAGTGATTCCTGCAGTCACTTTTTTTCGGATTTTTCGCAAGAAGCGAAGTTTTGGAGCTTGAGTTTTATACGCGAGAAGCGTAGTGCGATTGCCGCTAATACCGCGGATATCGGCGACCCTTGGCAGGGATACAGTGCGACGTCGAGGTACAGTGTTCGGTGCCGTGACCCGGCTCCTGACCCAGCTGACAAGGTCGAGCCAAGGCCAGCCTTGACAACCTTGGTCTTCAAACGCGGCCAGTAGGGATGCCTACTGGCTGCAGCGTACCCGCTTCACTGCTCCCGAGAGTCTTGGCCTACGAAAGGCATCGTAGAGGAGCGACATTCACGACGCTGTAAGTACCTGCCAACAGGCAGTTTATTTTATTAGGCAGCGGCCCTCGATTAGCCCACGTGTCTGCCCGGTACGCGAATTTGCGCCACAAGCTCGTTGAGTATTCGCGCTCGACAAGCGAACACACTATACACACACACGCATACACCCGCGAGGATCATATATTTTGCATTGTTCTTTTTAAACTGTTTTTAATATAGATTTTGGCTTCAATACAATACTCGCGAGTGTTTCTTCTCCTTAGTGTGTGCCCTGTCCCCCCTGTGTTGCGTCCCAGTCATCGCGAGAAGCAACGACCCCTGAAGCCGCGATACTTGACCCCAGCGGTGTCTCGGAGAGCGAGACCCGCGTATAAAGATTATTGAAGGTGTTGCCGAGGGTATCCGGGCAACACAGGCCCGGTCGAAGTGGAGTGATTCCGCATCGGCAGAACCGCAAAACAATATATATATATATATATATATATATGTATATATATACACA